CTGAAGGCACAGTACCTGCTACGCTCACTGGTTCCTCATCTTGGACCATTGCCACCAGGAGCTGGTAGGTCGAGTCATGGCAGTTCATGGCAGCAAAATGCAAGGCCGTGTGCCCGTACTTGTCCGGCTGCAAAGGATCGGCATTAAGATCCAGGAGGAGAGCCACGCAGCCGGAGATGCCATGGGCCGCGGCCAGGTGAAGCGCGGTGGTGTCGTTGGTGTAGTCGACCACTGTGTCTGGATGTATCCCACACACTTTCACAATCATGTACATGAGCTGCAAAAGTCCCCTCTGCGCTGCTACTGACAGTGATGCACAGACAATCGAGGAGAGATAAGATGGAATCTCAGAGTTGTTGCTGCCGTCTGTGTTTCGATAGAGGGAGAAGAGGTCGTCTGATAGTTGGATTATAAGCTTTACATCTTTTTCGCTATCATCTTTCAGTTTTTCATACATATCATCTAACTTCCTCTTCTCCTTTGCATGAAATGCCTGTATGGGAAAAAAATTGTTTTCATTTTTATAATTATATTCACTTATATTGTGTAATGAAATATTACTATTATGTCAAAATGATTTGCATTCTATCATCAGTATATTATACATAAGGTACAAAATAGTCTATTATAAAACAAAAAAAATCAAAACAAAACAAAAAAAAAACACACAGATAAGTACCAGAAACACTAACCTCTTCTATTTCCTCTCGTAAGTAGTTGGGCATGATGTCCCTTGGCAGAATACCTGATGAGTCAGATATGTAAAGGCTTGCGCTCATGTCTTTAACCATGACAGATGCAAGACTCCAGTGTTTGAAATGGAGCGCCACATGGAGGGACGTGTAGCCACCCTCACTCAGCAGGAAGCTCTGAGCCCCTGCCTGTTGCAGAAAGAACACTGTGAGGGTGCAATTAAACTGGGCAGCCGTGCACATAAGAGCCGTGAGCGTCTTCACGCCCAGGAATTTCCACTTGGTCCGCCATGGCGTTGGGCCTCCTAGAGTGTCCAGCATGAGGTCTATACCTTGGTGGAGAAGGCGTTCCCATGGTGGGAGCTGCCGCTTCTCCCAAGCCAGCCTGTTCTTGTAAGCCTGTGGGTTGAATTCCATTATTTCAAATACTATAGTGTCTACTATACAGGGTATAGGCTTTTATGCTTGAATGTAAACCGTCGGTTTTATCCATGGTGATCTTCAAACAGAAATGCCTTTTCGAAGTTTCTTACCCTAGTGATGAGGACTTGTACTCGGATTGTGACGTCAGGGGAATTCCAGGCCTGCTGCAGGAGAGTCAAGCCCCCAGCCATGGAGGTGAGAGGAGCCCCAGCAGCGATCAGGAGACTCACTATCTTGCGGCGGTTAGACGTGACTGCGAGGGACAGAGCATGGGTAGAGAGACTACCCACAGGCTCGAGAGGGGCACCTTGGCACAGCAGTTCGGAAGCTTTCACCGCGTCATCCCCGGAACCGATCACTGACAAGAGCTCCTCGTACAGCTCCTCAGGGTCCTCCACTTTCTGTAAAGAAAAATTACTTGGTTCATGTGAGCCTGTCAGATGAAGGGCAGGGTCTCTGTCTCTCTGTTTTTTCTCTGACTCTATCTTTGTCTGTTTCTTTCATTTTCATATTCTTTCTCTAGCTAATGTGTCATCTAGCTTACTTAAAATTGGAATACAAGTTAGATTAAGCAAATGCATGCATAAAATAGTTATGACACAAACATTATCAAAGACATTATACATGTCTTGAATTCTTCAGCTAGTGATTATGATATTCTTAACCCCTTGGTGCCGGGTATGACGTGTACATACGTGCTATGCCCACCGTGAGTACTTGTTTGATTGTTTTTACGCATAGATGCCAACACTTATACTAACTCCCCAATGAGCCAGTTACGAGCACCGCCCGTTTACACGTTTCTTTGATTTACAAAATATTTTACATAATCTTATTTTGCTGTTACTAATGTTAAAAAAGATTATAAAAATTATAATGTTTATGATAAAAACAACACCATCGATTTTCATAGCTCTAATGAAAAATACGTTTTTCCCGCCATTTAAATCAGGCGCTAGCAGAGACATTTCACGAAAAACATAGAAAGTGGGCACAATATTTTCCCCATTTTTTGTTCATTTTCCCCGGCACCATTGGGTTAAGAGTGGCAGCCTTATAGCAAAGATTGCCAAAGGAGTAATTGAGAATAACTGCTACAGAATCATAGTATTATACAGAAAAAAAAATTGAGTTTTGAATTGGGAAATGTATAAATCTTATAAAATAATCCTGACAAAAGTAAATGCAAGTTTCCTTTTCTTATGTCAGGATAATAAAGCAAAATGAAAACTAAAAAGTACACACACATTTCTTACTTTAAGCCAGCAATCTAGAAGTAGGAATATGAAAATAACTCGTCCCATTGATAAGGAAAAAGAGAAAACCTGGTAACTCACTCAGGCTCTAGTGGCCTCTAATTCTGATAACTGTATGGTGTTGCAAATTTCAACAAAAAATCTATTGAAGAATCTACATTAAAAAAGAAAAGAAAAATCAAACATATGAAAGTACATGTATTAAGGGTCAGGTGCTGGACTACTCGAGGGTTTGGTGTGAGTTCCCTGTCATTCGTTTTCTGAGATTGGAGGTTTCTTTAGGCCTCTGGAACCTTGTAACATGGGGGGGGTGGGGGTCACTTTCACTGATATGAATCACTTTGATCACTATCGAATAACAAAAATCTGATCGAAAAATGTTACATGGATTCCTAAATTTTGGGAAAAAGTGAATGGCCAAAGGCATTAACTTGAAGTAATCCAAATATCTTGTTTATTTTACTATGGTTTCAGTGTTGTACAGAATGCTTACATACTTACCTTGATAACCTTATACTTGTCCATAATATTCAGAACCTCATTATTCCCGGCCTGTCGTGCGAGATCAGCTGGTGTCTCTCCGGAATAGGACAAAGCTTCTGGATAGAGCTTATGAACGTCCAAGAGCACCTTCACCGTGCGAGCTTCCTTCAGCTCTACAGCCCAGTGAAGAGGCGTTAGTCCATTCTTATCTTGTTAGTGACCATCGTGACTGTGGTGGATGTTGATGAGCAGATGACTAGCTCCTCTCCTTATATATTCAAGGATACTTTTCGAAAGCTCTTCTTCAATTCGCAAGCTTTTGGTCTGGAAAACAAGATTAAATGTATTGGGTAGTTAGCTACATATCTACATACATTAATGAAAAAAAAATTAAACACATGCAAATGTACATCATGGGTATTTAAGTGCAATACGTACTGCCATAATGTGCCGAGTGTCAGGGGAAATCTTTGGCTTTAATGTGGTGACTGCTTTTTTGATGGTAACTGAAATTTTATCAGCTGCGGTTTCATCAGTATTTTTTACTTTGCCTTCTGTGTCTGTGTTAGTTTGTGTGGTGACCTTTGTATTATCTGGTTTTGCCCCATCATTTGAAATAACATCTGTATTTTCTGCACCTGAGTGATAGGTAACTGTGGCTGCAATCTGTGTAGCGGGAGAGACTGAGGATGGGTCTGGTGGAGACCCATCTCCAGGTAAGCTAGAAGAGGAGCATTCCGAGTCTGTTGCTTTGGATACGGCCATGGGAAGACGCATGACTTCAGGGGAAGGGTTTTTGAGGAACCACCATTCAACTTCGTGATGACTATGTACTCTAGCTATGTCAAGTGCTGAAAAACCCTCTCCATCCTTCTCATGATAGCTCAAATTTTTCAGGACAAGGAATTTCACTGAATCCAGGCCACCGCCAAGAGCAGCAATGTGCAGTGCTGTCTTTCCACACTTGGTTTTGACTTGGAGGTCACAGCCACACTCTATCAGTTTCATGATGGCCTCAGGTTTGTTGTTCATGGCAGCACGATGTAGTGGAATGCTGGCCCAGATATTCCGGGCATACATGTCTGCTCCGGCATTCACAAGCATCTGGATGCAGGTGGGGTGACCTTCCTGAGCTGCCACATGTAGAGGTGTGCAAGCTGCAAGCAATAGCAATTGAAGGTGAGAAATTGTTCAAAATAAACTGGTAAAATTTATATTTGTAATTAGCAACTTTTATTGGGATTTACATTTCTGATATACACAACACACCTGATTTGTTACTGATTTAAAAGGAATAAAGACCAGATGATTCTAAAGCATTAGATTAACTTATGAATTTGTAATATGTAAGAGTAATTAATTTCCTAAATGAATCTTACCACTAACAGTATTTAAAGTCCAGTGCCAGGTTCATATGATTAAAAAATGAATTTTATTCATTATATTTCACTGAAGCATATAGCTATGAATCACTGATAAAGGGATATAGTTCAATTTACAATTTCTCATGTATAGAGGTTTTAAGATGTTACATGATAGATTCTACCTCACATGATATGCAACTCTGCCAAGTATTAAGGTGCCGTTAACAAATACTCTGCTTTGTTTAAATCTAGTTTTTAGTTTAACAGATTTGATCTATTCCATATCATTTTGGTAATAATATAGAATAGTGCAAAGATTCAGTAAGTAAAATATATATCTACCAAGTAATGCAAAACCTGTTTGCTCAAATACTATACCACCAACTGATTAAGATTAAGCCACTGTAATCAATGGCAATACTCCTACCCTTTCTCTGAACCCAAGAACTAACCCCAAGAACGGACAACTGACCAAAGTCTGCCTCTTTCGCCTCCAGTAATGCTCCTGCTGCCACCAATTTCTCCACGATGTCTGCGTGCCCCATGTAAGCGGCGCAGTAGAGCGGCGTTCGGGAGCCACGTCCTCTGTGGTCTACATGTGTTCCGGCCTCCAGAAGGAGCGATACGGCGATGGCGTGACCTAACCTAGCTGCCAGGGTCAACAAGGATCCCCCGGGGTCATCGGGGTCATCTTCAGGGAGGATGAGATGCTGATCGGCACCGCGGGAGAGAGCGGAGGAAATCCCCTCGGCGTTCCCGCTTCTCACGGCATCAACGAGGTC